GCTAGTGGCTTCCTGGCTTCTGGGCCCGGGAGTCCCTCTCTTTCTTCCTCGTTCTCTCCTCCTCCTTCTCTCCTTTGCCTAGATTTCTCCTCCTACTTATTCTCTCTGCCCGCCAGCCCATCTCTCTTCTCCCTAGCTGTTGCCTGTTCAGCTTTTTATTAAACCAATCAGGTGCCTTAGGCAGGCAAGGGGAAACAAGTGCAACGCCTCTTCACGTAATTAAACAGATGTAACCGTCTTTGCCTAGTTAAAGTCACGGTCCGCCACAGCTGCTCTTGCAGAGGATTCACTTCTCAGACCCACATGGTGGCCCGCATCTCTCTGCAGTTTCAGTTCTAGGCGATCTCACGGCCTCTTCTGGCGTTCTTGGGAACCAGAGACACATGGTGCACATGAACGAATACAGGCAAACCACTCATACACATAAATAAAAAGTTTTTTTAAAAGGAAGTCATAGATAGGATGTGGGCCTTTGGGTTTGACACTGTGTGTGTGTGTGTGTGTGTGAATTGTGTAAGAATGTTTTTGTGGTGTGTTCATATATATATATACACACACACATACATACATACATACATACATACACATATGCACATGTGTGAGCATACATACGGAGGCCAGAGGTTGGTGTTGCATGGCTTTCTTCAACCCTTCTTTATCTTTATTTTTAAAACATTTTATTATTTGACTTATGTGCATGAGTGCATATGTGTGTGCACATGCATGCAGGTGGTACCTACAGAAGCCAGCCCTTCATCTTTTCTTTCATTTGCATTTTGCTTGTTTGTTTTGTTTTGTTTTGTTTTTGAAAGAGGTGTCTCACTGTGTACCTCTGGCTGGCCTGGAACTCATTCTGTAGACCAGGCTGGCTTTGAACTCACAGAGATCCACCTGCCTCTGCCTCCCAAGGGCTAGGATTAAAGTCCTGCGCCACCACCCCAGGCTTCGTCTTTGTTTTTTTGTAACAAGATCTCTCGCTAAGCCTGGAGTTAACAGGTACAGCTAGGCTGGCAGGCCAGTGTGCCTCGGGGATATGCTTATCTCTGCCTACTCTCCAGCAATGAGGTTATAGATGTGGAATTCTACAAGCACTTTACTAAATGAGCTGTCTCTTCCCTAGCTCAGGCTGGCTTCTTAAGATACTAGGATGCTCTGACATTCACTATCACTAGGTTTGAAAATCCTTCAATTAAAGAGCTTGTGGAAGAGTGTAATGGATGCTCACCACTTCCTCTCAGACTGCGAACACTGCATAGACCAATGCACATTTCCATTCTGGCTAGACTATTGTCTACTTTAGCTCGTCTCTCCTGAGGACAAGTGTGCACCACTACCATCCAGCTGCAGTTCGCTCTCAGTTTCTTTTCTTTTCTTTTCTTTTCTTTTCTTTTCTTTTCTTTTCTTTTCTTTTCTTTTCTCTTCTCTTCTCTTCTCTTCTCTCCTCTCCTCTCCTCTCCTCTCCTCTCCTCTCCTCTCCTCTCCTCTCCTCTCCTCTCCTCTCCTCTCCTCCCCCCTCCTCCCCTCTCTTCTCCTCCCCTCTCCTCTCCCCTCCTCCCCTCTCTTCTTTTCTTTTTTTTTTTTTTTTTTTTTGGGGACAGGGATCTCACTAGCCTGGAACTCACTATGCAGATCAGACTTGCTTCAAACTCACTGGGATCTGCCTCCCGCTGCCTCCTGAGTGCTGGGTTCTTCATATTTTCAATAACGTGAACACATCTAGGTCTAGGAATGTGGCATTTTAACTAATGCACTAGATCCTGTCTAAAGAACAGCATAAAACCAGACATGGTAGCCCGTCAGAAGGCATCCTCGGTATGTAGCGAATTTGAGCCCAGCCTGGTCTGCCTGAGCATCTCTATGGACACCCGGGAGGGAGTTCCACTCTGTCTTATACACAAGGGTGGAGTTACTGGGTGGAGGGCTCCAGGAACTCTTGCTGGGTAATAATTACGAATTACCTTCAACCTAGATGCTTAACAGCTTTTTTTTTTTTTGGGGGGGGGGGGGATGGACCAAGGCCTTTCACAAGCTAGGTAAGCACTCCATAGAGTCACACCACTAGATCAACAGTTCCTAAATCTCTCACACAGGTGTGAAGTTGGCAGAGCCCTGCCGCTGGAGGGGGGTGAATTCAGTGGAAAGTTTCTTCACACCCACACCTGGTGTCTGGGCTGCCTGGCTAGATCAGCCCAGGATGGGGAGATTAGATAGCATCTCCTAAGTGACAAGGGGTTGCAGCTATCTTTCATCTTCACGGTGGCTAGACTCGTCAGCTCTGTCTAATATCAGCTGCAAACTAGCTCCTGAGCAGTTTCTGGCTCTCACCGGTAGCAAGGATTCGGACTCCATTGGATTTTATTGTTTGTTTGTGGCTTGTTTTGTTTTGTTTTGTTTTGCTTAGTTTTTTGAGACCTGTTTTCTCTGTGTAGCCCTAGCTGTCCTGGGATTCACTCTGTAGACCAGGTTGGCCTTGAACTCACAGAGATCCACCTGCCCCTGCCTCCCAAGTGCTGGGATTAAAGGTATGCACCACTATCGCCGTTGCTTGTTTTTGAGGTTGGGTCTCATGTAGACCAGGCTGGCCTCTTGCTCACTACATAGCTGAGGATGGCCTTGAACTTTGAGTCTTCTATCCCTCCCTACGTACTAAGTTGATGATGGGGGAGTGTTACCATGTTCATTGTAGTCCCTGCTGGGATGGAATTCCCAGCTTCCTGAACACCAAGCAAGCCCTCTGCCATCTGGACCTCAGCACCTTTCCTGTCTCCTTTTCTTTTTTTTTTTTTTTAAATATTTATTTATTATGTATACAATAGTCTATCTGTATGTATGTTTGCAGGCCAGAAGAGGGCACCAGACCTCATTACAGATGGTTGTGAGTCACTATGTGGTGCTGGGAATTGAACTCAGAGCCTTTGGAAGAGCAGGCAATGCTCTTAACCACTGAGCCATCTCTCCAGCCCTCTCCTTTTCTTTTTGTTGTGTTTTGTTTTAAGACTAAGTCTCAGTCGTGCAGTCCTGGATGGCCTGGAACTTGCTGCGTAGATCAGGTTAGCCTAAAAAACCACAGGGATGCCTCTCCTGCTTGTTGTGCCTAGCTATTTGTTTGTTTGTTTGTTTTTTTTTTAAACAGTGTTTTATTTTTTGTTTTTTTGAGACAGGGTTTTGCTGTATAGTTCTGGTTGTCTTGGAACTCACTCTGTAGACCAGGCTGACCTCGAACTCACAGAGATCTGCTTGTCTCTGCCTCCTGAGTGCTGGGATTAAAAGCATGCGCCATCACCATCACGGCACTTGTTCTTGTTTTTTTGGGGGGGCAGGATCTTACTATATAGTTCTGGTTGTCTTGGAACTTGCTCTGTAGACCAGGCTGGCCTGGAACTCCAGAGATCCACCTGCCTCTACCTCCTGGAGTGTTGGGGTTAAAGGCGTGCATCACCACTGCCTGGCTTGAAACAGGGTTCTTACTATTTAGCCCTGGCTAGCTTGGAACTCACTATGCAGACAAGGCTGCCCTTGAACTCACAGTGCTGGGGATGGAATCAAAAGCATAGACTGCCACCGAGCCTCTTTGTTTTTCTGTTTTGTTTTTGGACACGACTTGATGTTTCCCATGCTGGTCTCATTCTTTGATGTTGTGAAGATGACCCTGACCTCTTACATGTCTTCTCAATTGTTTCTATGTGTATGTTACTAGGTGCTTTGCCTGCATGTCATCTGTGCACCATGTGGGTGTGTTGCCCAAGGAGGCCAGAAGGTGTTGGGTTCTCTTGGACTGGAGTTACAGTCAGTTGTGAGCCACAGTGTGGTGCTGAGAATTGAACCCTGTCCTCTGGAAGAGCAGCCAGTGCCCTTAATTGCTGAGTCAGCTCTCCATCCCTGACTTTGACAAGCATTGGGAGCACAGGGGTGCAGCCCGATGCTGACCTGCCTCTGAACCCCCTTGCAGGCTGGAGAAATGGCTAGGCTCACAACCACAAAATAGTGTTGACTTGCCAATGGCTTTAAAATGTGCCTTCCATACGTCTAAGCAAGCTGCGACCTTATGTTCCCTCACTCTGGAGAGATTTAAAGCTGGAAAGCCCTGGGCAGTTTCAAAGAACTCTTGCCACAGCCTCTCTAGCGGTTGAGGCAAGGGGATTACCATGAGCTCAGTGAGCTAGGGTCTAGTACAGAGTCCCGAGCTGCAGAGTGAGGTTCTGCGTTTTTTTTTTTTTTTTTGTTTTAGAGACAAAGTTTCTCTTTGTAACCCTGGCTGTGCTGGAACTCGCTCTGGAGTACAGGTTGACCTCACACCCAGAAATCCTCCTAACTCTGCCTCCCAAATGCTGGGATTAAAATTAAAGGCCTGGGCCACCACCACCACCTGGTTAATTGTAATTTATTAGGGGGATATCCATTGGAGGCTAGTTCTTTGTTTTTGTTTTTTTTTTAATATTTATTTATTTTATTATGTATACAATATTCTGTCTGTGTGTATGTCTGCAGGCCAGAAGAGGGCACCAGACCTCATTACAGATAGTTGTGAGCCACCATGTGGTTGCTGGGAATTGAACTCAGGACCCTTGGAAGAGCAGGCAGTTCTCTTAACCACTGAGCCATCTCTCCAGCCCTGTTTTTGTTTTTGTTTTGTTTTGTTTGTTAAAGGGAACAGAAGGAGGGGTGGATGGGGAGAGGGAAGGAGAGAGGTGGGAGGAGTGGAGGGAGGGAACTGCCATCAGGATGTAATGTATGAGAGAAAAAAGTGCAAAAGAAAAAAAAAACCAAACTAAAAAACAAAGAAAAAAGTTGGTTATGGTAAACCAAACGACTGGTGTACCCACAAGGGGAAGACAGAGCAAGGCTGCCATACAAGCAGACAGTGACCTCTGAAAAGATAACAACCCTCTCTATGGCCAGAGGCCTCAGGGGAAACCCACTGTGCGGTCTCTTTGACCTTCTAGGACTGTGAGAAATGAATTTCTGTGTGAGTCACCCAGTCTGATATTTGTCCACGGCTCTGCAGAATACAGGATACCAGTGTTTTAGTTTACATCTGCAGCTCGCTCATCCTGTCCAGTTATTTGTTTTGTCTGAAATGCAAATGGTCCTCCGCCTGCTGCTCCTAATGCCCAGCGTCAACACGCTGTCCACTGACCGCTTTCCTTCCATTTGTCCTCCACGCGTCTAGTCTCCTCGCTAGAGTCCTCTGGCTGGAGGTGGGCGCGGGAGGGGGGCCTCTGCTGGTCCCCAGGTCGTGCCCTTTCCCCAAGGATGGCCTCTTCCATCTGTTGCTATCTCCTCTTTGTGCAGGTTTGGGGTTTAAATGCCTAGTACCTGGGGAGAAAACCACGAGGCGGGAACAGCCGAGTTTGGGGTCTAGAGAAGCCAGCGCCGGGTGCTCTGAGCAGAGCCTTTTAGGCTGGTTTGAACAATGAATGGACCGGGCAATCACGCTGAGCACATCTGGCCCGGGCTGGGATCCTGCGGTGAAGGAAGCATCTTCAGAGCTGCCTGCCGGCAGGGCAACAGGATGCGTGGGTGGAGGAGAGCTCCGGCTATCCTCTTCCCGGCTCACGATCCTACGAAGCAGAAGCTGAAACCCACGTATCTGGGAACAGAAACTTTTGACGGAGGCTGTGGATGAGACGACAGATCAGACCACTTGCTCCACCTCTAGTCCTTGAGCTCGCCGGAGAGTCAGTCCCTGCAGCCCAGTGAGGACCAGCGCGGGGGGCGGGAGCGGGTTTGAACCCCTGGTCCTCCCCTTCGTGCTGGACATTGAAGATTGGACTACTTCCCCGCCGCGCCCTAAGCACTTATTGCGGTGAGCCCCGCCCCATCCAGGCTTTCACTTGCAGGTGGGGCAGTTGGCGCAGCACCCAGGCCGGGACCGCACTTGGGGGCCGGGGGACAGGAGAGGTCCCCGTAGTGGACCTCTTTATCGGACCTCTGTCCTTTCCTGTGCCTTCTCCACGCTCCCAGGACCCCAGCCCCACCTCGACTTTCGGCAGTCGCCTGTCAGCCCCTGCTGTGTCTCCTAGGATCCCGGATCTCTTCTGCCCATCTCCACTACCCTGTGTCGGCTCCCTTGATCTTCGCCGGGTACCTCCAGACCCCCAGGGCGGACGGAGTCGGGGCCCCTTCGAGAGTGTCCCCTCGGACCAAGCTGAACGCGCCATGAGGCTGCAGGCACTCGATCTCTGGTTACTGGTGCTACTGTTGGTTCTTCTGCTTCAGCCTGTGCACGGAACTCCCAGGGCGCAGGACGTGAGCCTGGGCGTGGTGAGCTCGGGTCCGCTGGCTCCTGGGATCATAGCCTGTAAAAGGAAAGGGGTAGGGCGGACTCCTGGGTCTGAAGGAAAGAGGGGGCTGGATTCAAATGTCCTGAAGAGTGTCTGGGGATGGACTCTTGGGCCCCTGGATTACTGGCTCTATCTGGAGGTTTGGTGACTGGGATTCAGAATTGTGGAAAGGAGCCAAATTGGGAAGCTGGGGCCTCACCTGCTGCGTCTATCAAGACTGACAAACCCAGAGCTGGGGCGTGGGGACCCTGGCTGTATGTATAAGGGAGGTGGGTTCTATCATCCAGGTCTAGGAGCTCTGGCTCTGGATTCCCTAGAGGGTTGGACTTTTCAAATAACGGTGAGAAGGGAAAGCCCCATTGCCTTAGGGTTTTACCATTCCTCTCCTATGCCCCAGGACTGGCTGACTCGCTATGGCTACCTGCCGCCGGCTGATCCTTCCCAAGCCCAGCTGCAGAGCCTTGAGAAGCTGCAGGATGCGATCAAAGTCATGCAGAGATTTGCCGGCCTGCCTGAGACAGGTCAAATGGGTAGGTAGGCCACCAAGGCACGGGGCAGTCCTGCCTCTGCCTTTAAACTGCAGGGAACGCTGCAGACCTTGGAGGTCTGCGGGCATCCAGCTATCCTGTCCTGGCTTTGTCAGCAGGGCTGGAACAGATCTGGTCCACACTCTCTGGAGCTGGCATTATTAGGGAGAAAGAAACAGACCAAGAACCTCAAACTTGAGAGTCTCCTGCCTCAGCCTGAGTCTGCACCTAGCTGGGCAGGCCACTCGGAAAGGTGTCGTGTGAGCTTATAAGCTGAGATCACAAAAAGGAGGACGCAGCCACAGGACCATGTGGGAGGAAATGGCCCCGTAACTGCAGAAGAACTGCGGCAGGCACAGTTTATCAGCCTGCAGTGAAGGGCAGAGGGGCTTAGGCAAGGGCGTGATTAGGTTACCTTGAAAGAGGTTTGTTCCAAGTATAATAAGAAACCAGGGGAGCAGGGCTGGAAGGAGGGAGTCAACTTCATCTGACTTTCAGGATTTTGTTTTTGTGGGGGCAGGTGTTCTTCTCTGTGTTGCTTAGGCTGCTCTTGAACACGCAGTCTTCCTGTTTTAGCTTCACTGAATGGGTCGTTGGGAAACAGTGGCCATGCCATATTGCTCGGTTCTGGTTTGATCTTAAGCTTCTTTTGTCTGTTGATGAGGAGTGGAGGGTGGGTGGAGAACCAGAAGGAGCCTTTTGCAGGTGGTGCTGGGGAGTAGGGGTGGGGATGTGGCAGAGAGTATATTTTGAAGGTAGAGTCAAGGGCTTGCCTGTGGAGTTAAATAGAAAGACAGAGGGAACTTGGAGAATCTTCAAGGAAAAAACCCCTCCCTCCCTGTTCCTTCTTAGCCCAGAACAGAGTATGACGTCACTATGTTCTTGGTTACTGTTTGCTATTGCTACCAGTGAGATGCAGTTTGACCTCACTTGAAGCTGAAATGACTCCTGGAAAAGGGGAGGTGCTAGAAAGGGGGGTTACAGATGGGCCTAATGTGAGAAGGGATGGCAAGGTGCTGCAGACTAAAGACCCCTGCTGGTCTTCAGACTTTGATCAGCATCCCATGAGGACTTAAGCCAGGTGGGATGGTGGTGGTGCTCGCCTTTAACCCCAGCATTTGGGAGGCAGAGGCAGGCAGATCTCTTGAGTTCAAGTTCGCGGCCAGCCTGGCCTACAGAGCAAGTTCCAGGACAGTCAGAATTACACAGAGGAACCCTTTTTTTTGAAAAACCAGGAGAGAGAGAGAGAGAAAAAAAAAAAAAGAGTGACGGACAGCGTTAAGGGGAGAGCACAGTCGTTTGGATTCTGGTCTTAAAGGAAAGAGGAGAGGACCTAGTTGGTAAAGAGTTCACCTTGCAAGCTTGAAGACTTGAGTTTGGGCTCTAGAACCCAGCTGAAAAGGGGCCTGGTGGAGTGGCCTTGTGATCCCAGCCCTGTGGAGGCTGAGATGCAGATCCAGTCTAACCTAACCTAATTGGGGAGTTCTGGACCATGTGAGAGATCCTGTCTCAAAAAACCAAAGTCAATGAAGCAAGCAAGCAAACCCAAGGTTGGCAGCCCAGGAAGGGCACCAAGGTTGCCCTCTGGTCTCCACTCCCAGGTGCACTGCGTACCCTATAGACATACGAATACAACCCCTTCCACTTTTGGGGTACCTTCCTTCAGCATCTGCCAGCTGGGGCCAGGGAAGGGGTACAAGAGACCCAGCTTAAGCCTGTAAGTGCCTCCTACGGTGGCCAGTCCACCCACGGTCAGGTAGAGAGGGCGCCTGGCTTGAGCTAGCTTTCCCAGTGGACTGTCTGGGTTCGAGCCATTTGTTTTTTTTTTTTTTTAAACATTTAGTTATTTTTATTTTATGTGTTCGGATGTTTGGCCTGTGTGTCTGTCTATGCCTCATAGAGGTGAGAAGAGGGTGTCAGGTCCCCTGAAACTGGAGTTACAGACTATTGTAAGCCACCAGGTGGGTGCTGAGACTTGAACTCAGGTCCCTCTAGAAGAGCAGCCAGTGACTTCAAGTGTTGAGCTAACTTTTCAACTCTATTGAGTCAATTTCTTAGTTAGTGGGTACCGTGATGATGGACTGTCCTATCACTCGCCACGCCTGTCTCCCACAGACACAGAAACAATAGCTGCCATGCACAAGCCCCGCTGCTCCCTGCCTGATATTCTGGGGGCTGCTGGGCTGGTCAGGCGCCGCCGTCGCTATGCTCTGAGCGGCAGTGTATGGAAGAAGCGCACCCTGACATGGAGGTAGGTCTTGGTTCCTCTGCTTCCCCTTGACCTGCTGACCAGGTCCCAGACTTGCCTGGCTGGCCGGTACCTCCACAGCCACGGGCTCTCCTCTTCTCTCCTCAGTATCCAGTCCTTCCCCCAGAGCTACCAGTTGAGCCAGTCAACCGTGCGGGCCCTCATGAGTTACGCCCTGGCTGTCTGGGCTGTTGAGTCAGGCCTTACCTTCCAGGAGGTGGATTCTCAGCGTCAGGAGCCTGACATCCTTATCCATTTCTCCCGGGGCTACCACCAAGACAGTTACCCCTTTGATGGACCCGGTGGCACCCTGGCTCATGCCTTCTTCCCTGGAGAGCACCCCATCTCTGGAGACACTCACTTCGATGATGAGGAGACCTGGACTTTTGGGTCACAAGGTAAAAGTTTCCATCTTCAGAGTGGTTCCCTCTTTGTATCTCTCTGTGCTGAAGAACTAGGTTTAAGTTAATTGATTGGTGAAAGCTGTGTCGGTCAGGGATCCCCCAGAGAAGCTGGAGGCATGTACTACAGTGGTGTGCTGCTTGTCCAGCATGTATGGGCTAAGAACACACACACACACACACACACACACCCCACACATGGCCCAACATGGTAACACACAGCTTTAATCCCAGCACTCAGGTGACAGTGGCAGGTGGCTATCTATGAATTTGAAGTTAGCCTGCTCTACATGGTGAGTCTAGCCATGGAGCTTGCATTGCAGAAAATCAAAAAAAAATTACTTTTTAAGTTGATTTAATTTTTTTTTGTTTTTTCGAGACAGGGTTTCTCTGTGGTTTTGGAGCCCGTCCTGGAACTAGTTCTTGTAGACCAGGCTGGTCTTGAACTCCCAGAGATCTGCCTGCCTCTGCCTCCCAAGTGCTGGGATTAAAGGCATGCGCCACCACCGCCCGGCAAGTTGATTTAATTTTAATTCTATGTATATGGGTGTTTTATCTGCATGTATGTCTGTGTACCAGGTGCACTGCCTGGTGCCTCTGAGGCCAGAAGAGGATGAGGAACTGGCATTGAATATGGTGTGATCGATCATGTGGTTTCTGGGAGTCGAGCCTGGATCCTGTGGAAGTGCAGCCAGTGCTCCTAATCACTAAACTGCCTCTCCAGTCCCCAGCCCCTCCCAGACTCCTAAAAAGCATTTAAAAGGAGGGTTTTGCTTTTGTTTTTGAGATTTGACCTCATTATTGTAGCCCACACTGGCTTTGGGCTCACTGTTTATCCCAGGCTGTCCTCGAAGAGATTTGCTCTGAGGAGTTGGCTCATGGAGATTGTGGGAATTATCATGGCCAGAATTTGTAAATGACTAGGAAAACTCAAGGTAGATTTCTGTCTTGAGACAAAATTTCTTCCCTCCTAGAACCCTCAGTGTCTGTAACTAGGGCTGGATGGATATGGTCCTTCTGCATTGGGGTGGCTTTCTTCGGTGCGAGCAGATGCTAGTTAGATCTCTGAAACACCTTCACAGCTACATCTGGGCTGCTGTTTGGGTAGTCCACTAGGCACAACCAAATCAATACAAAATCACCACTACAGAGGCCTTTCAAGTGCCCAGCTCAGGCAGTGGTGGCACTCACCTTTGATCCCAGCACTTGGGAGGCAGAAAAAGGCAGGTCTCTGTGAGTTCAAGGACAGCCTGGTCTACAACCAGGGCTACACAGAGAAACCCTGTCTCCAAAAAAAAAAAAAAAAAAAAAAATGGAAAGCAAGCAAGCAAAAGCATTGCCTCGTCAAGTGCCCAGCTCAGAGATGCAGTGATGTAAAATCTGAAACCCCGTCAATTTAGGCAGAAGGGTGACTGTCACCACTGTGCACAGTGATGTGATAGCCAAAAATCACAGCAGAAGAAAGTCTCAGCTTGACTTTGGTGGGCAGGGGAGGTTTCCTAGAAGTGATGACTCTTTCTGCTTAAACAGACACATGTGCCGGATGTGGTGGCGCTGAGGGTGACGGCACATCTGTAATTCAGCTCTTGAGAAGCTGTGGCAGGAGGATTGCGAAATCGAGACCAGCTGAAGACAGATAGCAAGAATCCAGAACTGGGTGTGGTGGCGCACACCTTTAATCCCTGCACTGGGGGGCAGAGGCAGGCAGATCTCTGGGAGTTTGAGGCCAGTCTGGTCTATAGAGCAAGTTCCAGGACAGCCAGGGCTGGGCCTGTTCTGACTTCCCTCAGATCTGCCCCTCCAAGAGCAGTTCCCATGTTTTCTTACCCGGACACTCTGGCCACTCCCTGCCTCCGAGATTCCACCTCCCCATGCATCCAGGAATATGTCTAGGATGCAAAACTATTTGATGTGATCCCATTGCTTCCCGAATCCTGTTGTTCAAATTCTTTCCCAAACCCTTTGTAATCGAGAGCCCACTCTCGCCTGTGACGTCATCCCTTTGTAATCGAGAGCCCACTCTCGCCTGTGACATCATCCTTTTGTAATCCAGAGCCCACTCTCACCTGTGACGTCATCATCACTGATGCCACCCACAATTCTGTTTTCCAGCCATCGATGCTCCTGATTCTATCTCCCCTCAGCAGCTCCCCACCTCTAGCTACCAGGCACTCAGCTCACTGGCTGGTGTGCTCTCCTTGAGTGTCCCCTGTACCTATGCACTTCAGAAGAACAAGGTTTGCCCATCTGGCCTGTGACACCTGGTGCTCAGCATTCTTTGTTTTGTTTTGTTTTGTTTTGTTTGAGACAGGGTCACTCTGTAGCCTAGGTTGGCCTTCATCTCACTATGTAGCTGCAGCTTGGCCTCAAACTTGCTACAATCCTTTTGTTTTGTTTTGTTTTTTCGAGACAGGGTTTCTCTGTATAGACCTGGCTCTCCTGAAACTTTCCTTGTAGACCACGCTAGGCTCGAACTCACAGAGATCTGCCTGCCTCTGTCTCCCGAGTGCTGGGATTAAAGGTGTGTGCCTCCACCATTCAGCCAGATAGAAGTTCTTAAGCAGTTTGTCAAGGGAGAGGGTTCTCAGGAGAAAGGATAGCAGGAGGGGAATAGAACCGAACACGGATGTGGGGCCAGCTCTTCTCAGTTCTGTATCAGTCAGTCTTTTACTGCGCTAGGGTAGGATGAGTGGGGAGGTGATAGTTGGGTCAGGTGCCCAGGTGTGGAGCACCACTGGCAGCCAGTCACAGACTGTGACAGCAGGCAGTACCCTCAGCACACCAAGGCTAGAGATGCAGGCTTGGGGAGACCACAGAGCTGCAGTCTCCAGTGCAAGCAGGTCAGCTTTGAAGATGAATCAGCTCAGGTTCCTCCACTCGTTGCTCTCTGTTTCCTCAGCTGAGAAATGAGGGAAGAAGTGCCCGCTTGCTGAGTGGTCTGTGTTCTTTTCACTCCTTGGCACCCGTGTTGCTGACTTCATTGCCAACTGCTCTCAGAGCTGAGCGTGGGGAGGGATTAAAGGATGCCAGGAAGAAAGTATAGAATGCAAAAGTCAAAGGCAGAGCAATGGAGAGCCTTGGAGTTAAGTAGGTAGCTGGGAAGAGAGATGGGGAGCTGGGCGTGGTGGTACATACCTATCATCCCAACATTTGGAGTCAAAGGCAAGGTGGCTGATATAAGTGACCAGCCAGGGAATAATCTACATAAAGAGATCTAGGCCTGCAAGCAAGAGATGTTGCCTTGGAAAACAAACAAACAAACTTACAAAAACCAACCCAAACCGGAGGTGGGGAGAAAAACAGGCTGAAAGATGACGAATAATAGTTCAGAGGAAGTGATTAGATACAGCAAGCACAGCAAGGCAGGGAAAAGTCCAGCAAGTTACATGGCCAGGATTTAGTTATGTGGGAACAAGTGACTTTTTTTTTCAAGACAGGGTTTCTCTGTGTAGTCCTAGCTGTCCTAGAACTCACTCTGTAGACCAGGCTGGCCTCGAACTCACAGAGATCTGCCTGCCTCTGTCTCCGAAGTACTGGGAATAAAGGCATGTGCCACCCCCACCCCCTTGGCTGACGAGTGACCTTTTTGTGCCTGCTTGCTCCGTGGTGTGAGAAGAATCTTACACTGTCCTTAGGCGTGAGAAAAAAGAGGAAGTGTAGACTGTTTATACCACTGGCTGGGGAGCTTGACTGGGAAGCAAGCGCAGAAACTGGTAAATCCAGAATCCCCGTGACCAAAGAGTATCTCAGAATGGAGTGTTCTAGGCTTTGGATCTCCCAGTTGAGACAACAGAAAGAAGGGTGGATGTGGATGCCTGGACAGACAGCACCCCTTCCACCCCAGCACTTGCCAGACAGGCAGGCGGATCTCTGCGAGCTTAGACTAGCCTGGTCTACAGAGTCTATATACACTGTCTCAAAAATGGGGGGCGGGCATGGATGCCTGGACAGAAAGGAAGAAGTGGGCATGGGCAGGAGACAAGAGGCGAGTGTGGGACCATGAAGCTATCTGTCCCTGTGCATATGTGTAGCAAAAGTGATGACATCACACGCCACTGCCTGCCTTTTGTTTGGTTTGCTTTCGGTCTTATTTTCAAGATTTATTTTTGTTGGTTTTAGCCATGTGTATGCCCATCTGTGTGGGGGTATATGCCCATAGGGGCAGGTGCCAGAGGAGGGTACGGACTCCCTTAGACCTGGAGCTACAGGCAGTCGTGAGCCACTTGAGGTGGATGCCAAAGTGGGGTCCTCTGGAAGAGCCGTAAAACATTCTTAATAGCTGAATCATCACCCCAGCCCCCGGGTTTGTTTTCTTGGGAAAGGGTCTCATGTATCTCAGGCTGGTCTCAAACTTGCTGTGCAGCTAAGGATAGCCTTGAGCACCTGCTCAGTCTACTATCATCTCCCCCACATGCATGCACCATTATGGCTATTTTACCTTGTGCTGGGAATCAAACCCAGGGCTCTATGCATTCTGGGCACGCTCTCTACCAACCAAGTACATCCGCAGCCCTGCCTGTCTTGAGAAACACGAAGCACACCTGCCAGTTGTGGCACATGGAAGTGGGGACTGAGTCTGGGCCTCACCCGAGTCTCATCTCAACTCCAGAATAAGAAGTTGAGGGGACCAAAGCAGCCACCTGCTAGGCCAAAGACAAGAAAGACAGGCACTCTGAACATGGTCCACCAGGGCTCCCACAGGGTTAGTTTGGGTGATTATGTAAATTTCTCCACCTGCATAGCATGAGAACAGTGCAGGAAGGGGTTCGTGGCCCGGAAGCCCCAGGTTGCCCCAAGAGAGGTGAGAAGGAAGGAGAAAGAGAACATCCTGATTGAGACACCAAACTTCCTCTGATTTCTCAGTAAAAGGATGCAGGGCAATAAGATGACCTGCAGCCAACATGGAAGTTCAGTTGTAGTTTGAACAGGTTCATCTGAAGACGGAACCTGCCGAAAGGCAGAGGCACAGCCAGGGCGCTCAGCACTCAGGGTCCGTGCCAGCTCTGTCTCTGACCTTGATGGCTCTGTTTCCCCTCTGTGGAATGATGGGAGGCGGAGAAACTCACTGTGTAGACCAGGCTGGCCTCGACCTCACAGAGATCCATCTGCCTCTGCCTCCCAAGAATGCTGGGGTTAAAGGCGTGCGCCACCACTGCCTGGCCAAAGCTGCTTTTAGAATTTACCCGGTGTGCCAAGTGTAGTGGCACATAACAGTAGTGCTTTTGCTTAGGAGGTAGAGACAAGAGGATTGCATGAAGGTCAAACCCTGTTACCTGAACAATGGATGAAAATCTAGCCAGGGCTACAGAGTGGGATCCAGTCTCAAAAAAGAAAAAAAAATTCTTTCTTTCTTTCTTTCTTTCTTTCTTTCTTTCTTTCTTTCTTTCTTTCTTCCTTTTCCTGTTAGGGCAAGTGGCTTTTCAGTTGAGCAGTCATATCTCACTCTCAATATCATCAATGCTGGCTAGGATCTATGAGGCGGAGCAACATTCGGGAACCAAGGCCTTTCTGGTAGACCGCCTGGCTCTGCTAACTCTTTTAGTGTCTTCTGGGTCTTAACCACTAAAGTCAGATCGATGAAGCCAAGCGATGAGAGGCTCTGTCCTGACCTGGGTGGAATCCCCAGGGAAGGAACTGTGGCGGGAAGAGGCTCCAGAGCAGGGGTTGTGGTCTGGGAGTGCTGAGTTCTGACTTCTCCCTCAGTTAGGGAAGGGTGGCACATGGGAGGGGTGAGGGCTCTGGAGAGGTGGGCAGAGAGGTGAAGCGGCCTGGAAATGTGGATACAGGGAGGGATGGAAAGAAAGGGGGTGAAAGAGACCCTGGGGTGAAGACTGGGAAGGGGGGGTGCTTCTTTTCCTTTTTATTTTCTTCCTTCCTTTTATTTCTTGAGATGTGGTTTCTCTATGTAGTCCTGACTAGACTTTAGTTTGCAATATAGGCTGGGCTGGCATCAAACACACAGAGATTCTCCTGCCTCTGCCTCCCGAATGCTGAGATCAAAGGCCTGCACCACCACACCCAGCAGAGTGAGCACTTCTTCCTCTTCTTCTTTTTAAAAGAGATTTACTTATTTATTTTATGTGTGTGAGTGCTCTGTCTACCTTTATGCCAGGAGAGGGCCTCAGGCTGTGAGCCACCATGTCGGTGCTGGGAACTGAACTCAGGACCTCTGGAAGAGCAGCTGGCGTTCTTTCCTGCTGAGCCATCTCTCCAGCTCCCAGAGTGGGGAATTTCTAAGCACAGACTGGAGTTGGGGGGGTGGTACTTAGTTCCCCAGGGCTGTGCACCCTAAGTTTCTATATGCAGTTTTCCCTTCTGGGCGAGGGCGACAGCAGCATGAGGGCAGCTTCCGCGTGTCCTTTGGTGTCTTTTTACCCAGTCCCAGTGTCACAGCAAACATATTTGCTGCATGGTTGAAGGGTACAGGAATAGGGGTGCCACTCAGGAGGGGGCAGGGCAGAGGAGGTGCAGCCTCACCCCGGGGTTTCCTGGGTCTTCCTTCTGGCCAGCAGACTCAGTCCCTCGCTCCCTTCCCAGCGTGGGAAGGCCTTGCTCCACCGCCTGCCTGTCCTCTCTCCCCAGACGGTGAAGGAACCGACCTGTTTGCAGTAGCAGTGCATGAGTTTGGCCACGCTCTAGGCCTTGGTCACTCTTCTGCTCCTGACTCCATTATGAGGCCCTTCTACCAGGGCCCAGTGGGTGACCCTGGCAAATACCGCTTGTCCCGAGATGACCGTGATGGATTGCAGCAGCTCTATGGTATGAGAAGGAGATGCCAGAACCAGCCCCAGGTATAGCTTCTGTGTGACCTATACAGCACGTCCGGGGAACTCATATCTACCCGCCTCTCCCCACAGGGAAAGTGTCCCATACTCCATATGATAAGCCCACAAGGAAACCCTTGGCTCCACCTCCACAGCCTCCAGCCTTGCCCCCTGACAGGTGAGTCTCCTACTAGCTGAGTGATCAGCATCCTGGCTCACTGTCCTCCATGAAGTGCTGGAGAGATGACTCAGTATTTGAGAGCATTTGCTGTTCTCTGAGACCCAAGTTGAGTTCCCAGAACCCACTCTAGACTGCCCACAGCCACCCGTAACTCCCACTCCGGAGGACACTTTGTGGATCTCAGACACCCACACACATGTGGTGGTATACACACACATAAATAAAAATTTTAAAAAATAATAAAAGGGTTGGGGAGATTGCGTCTTTAGCAAAGCAACTGTCATGCAAGTGTGAGGACCCGAATGCAGACCCGAAACAGCCCTGAAAGTCAGAGGCTTGGGTCTGTAATCCCATTACTCAAGAAGGCGGAGACAAGCATGCCAGCCTAGCTGAATTAATGAACTCCAGGTTCAGCAAGAGAGCTTGTCTCAAAAAATAAGGTTTTCCAGAGGTCCTGAGTTCAATCCCCAGCAACCACACGGTGGCTCCTAAGCATTTGTAATGAGATCTAGTGCCCTCTTCTGGGGTACAGGCATACATGTGGGCAGAGCACATACAAGCATACAAAAGATGTGGATGGGAGCCGGGAGGTAGTGACACACGCTTTTAATCACAGCACTCGGGAGGCAGAGGTAGGAGGATCTCTGTGAGTTCAAGCCAGCCTGGTCTACAAGAGCTAGTTCCAGGACAGGCTCCAAAGCTACAGAGAAACCCTGTCTCAAAAAAAAAAAAAAAAAAAAAAAAAAAANAGGACAGGCTCCAAAGCTACAGAGAAACCCTGTCTCAAAAAAAAAAAAAAAAAAAAAAAAAAAAAAAAAAAAACCTGTGGATGGGAAGAGTCCTTGCCAGACTAGTCAAAAGCAAGGAACAGGCAGCCCTAACCCGTCCACTCGCCATTCCTCTGCAGCCCCTCCACACCTGTGCCTGATCGCTGTGAGGGCAATTTTGATGCTATTGCCAACATCCGAGGGGAGACCTTCTTCTTCAAAGGTAAAGTCAAACAGGATGGCCCTTGAGTCTGCATAATTGGCTTTTTGCGTACTTCAGGTAACCTACCTAGGCTACAAAGTTTCCCGGGATGTGAGATTGTTGGCGTTTAAATCGAGCCGTGGTGTGGGGAGACGAGTCGTAAAATGATGGTCATAGATCTGCTTGATATGTAGAGGGATCCGCCCCTGCCCAGTCACTCGCTGGGTTGGATAGAGGGACATCAGTGAAGGGACAAGATCTCTGACCTTGTGTATCCCTAGGCCTTGTTCCTTTCTTTCCCTGCAGGCCCCTGGTTCTGGCGCCTCCAACCCTCAGGACAGCTGGTGTCGCCCCGACCAGCTCGGCTGCACCGCTTTTGGGAGGGGCTGCCCACCCACGTGAGGGTCATCCAGGCTGCTTACGCCCGACCCCTAGATGGCCGAATCATCCTTTTCAGCGGTGGGTAGGGGTCATGGGTACTGGATAGGGCAGGTCCAAGGAACCCCCCATCCCCCGCCCAAGTTACCAACTTGCCTCCTTCCAGGCCCCCACTTCTGGGTGTTCCAGGACCGACAGCTGGAGGGCGCAGCGCGGCCACTGGTAGAGTTTGGGCTTCCCCCGGGGGAAGAAGTGGATGCTGTGTTTTCTTGGCCTCTCAATGGCAAGACCTACCTGATCCGAGGCCAGCAGTACTGGCGGTATGACGAAGAGGCTGCCCGCCTAGACCCTGGCTACCCACGTGTCCTGAGTCGTTGGGAGGGGGCGCCGCCCGCCCCAGACGACGTCACCGTCAGCAACACAGGTGTGGGGAACCCTGGAAATCCTCATTTGCCAACTGCAGTCTCTGGGGGAGGGAAAGGAACGAGAAAGATGGAGAAGGGATGACAACTAGGAGGCGTGCCCGGGAGTTGGTGTGGAAAAAAAGGAGCAGTGGCTTTGGGGCAGGCCTGGACCAAGGCTCTGAGGTGTCTCCTCCCCTACAGGTGACACCTACTTTTTCAAGGGCACTCTTTTCTGGCGCTTTGCGAAGGGCAGTGTCAAATCTGAGTCGGATTCCCCCCAGCCCATGGGGCCCAAGTGGCTGGACTGCCCTGCCCCCAGCTATGACCCTCAAGTCCCCAACCGCCCGAAAATGACACCCAGAACCGGAACCTGTGATTGTCAGTGCGAACTCAATCAAGCCACAGGGCCGCTGTCAGTGACCCTTCTGCTGCCCCTCCTGCCCTTCCTGACTGGAGTTGCCTTTTCTTGCTGAAACCTGGTCTTTCCTTTTTTTTTTTTTTTTTTTTTGTTGTTGTTGTTGTTGTTTTTCGAGACAGGGTTTCACTGTGGCTTTGGAACATGTCCTGGAACTAGCTCTGTAGACCAGGCTGGCCTCGAACCTGGTCCTTCCTAGCAGATCAGCTTCCTACACCGAAGAGAGTCTCCGGCAGCTGGACCTAGTGTAGGGTCGTGAGATGCTGCAGAGTCTCACTGTCTCTTCCCACGGGGAAATCAGGCTCACAGAGCGGGAAGGGTTCCTAGCAGAAGCCTGTGGACGCTTTGATGGGGGCGGTACCCAAACCTGCTTGCTATTAGGGCACAGGAGCTGCGGCAGTAGTCAGGGCTACCGCTAGGGGGCGGTACGCACCCTTCTCCATCGCCAGGAATAGGGCTTTGCTGCCTGGAGCTAGGAACCCATCTGAACTGCGGATTGAACACACAGTGCTCTGCCCTACCCCGTTGCTCCTCAGACACCACACCTGCCTCATGTTGTGTGCTGTGGTGACTGACTTTCTGCACCCCTCTGATTCTCCACAATTGTTCATACTGGTGACAGTGGGACAGCAACTGTACTCATTAGATCCTCCGATAGCGCTGACTGTGTTGCTGAACCGTCTTACTCTGCATTCACGGTACCTCTGCATTCCTTTACAGTCACTGCCATTGGGTGGGGCGAAGCCCAAGAGCTGCTACCCCCCTCCCCCCCTCCCCGGCGTGCCTCAAACGTCAGTGTTGGCGTGGGTGGGGTTTCTTCACGTTGGGCCCAGTTGCTCTCATTTCATCAGAACACAACCGGCACGGGGGAGGGTCACCGCGAATTCAGGATCGCCAGATTCCATTGAAAGGGATCCGATGACACCTGTCCCCACACCAAGCGAAGTGACCGTTGGTTCCTTCTGGGACGGCGTGGCTCCCGTCTGCACAGTGCTGCGGTGGACAGGACCCTCTCGGCGATGCTATATTGCTTCCTCCTCCTCTTCCCTTTCCTTCTCACATTCTAATTTCAGTTGTGTCTGTGAGTACAGGAGCCCGAGGGGCCCAGCGGTGCTGGATCCTCTCGGAGGTGGAGTGGTCTGGTCGTGAGCCCTGAGTCCTGAGTGTAGAACTCGGGTCCTCTACTAGAATAACGTGCGACAGCTCCAGCCCCTGCCATTGCCTTCTGAGCCCTTCCCAGGGGCCCAATGATACAGCAAGGGGTGGTGAGAACTGAGGCAACTTCCTTCAACCCAACATCCCCATAGATTGAGAACCTAGATCGATGATTCTAGAATATTCCTCATCAGAATAACTTTATGGGATTTTATTTTTTTCAAGACAGGGTTTCTCTGTGCAGCCCTGGCTGCCCTGAAACTCACTATGTAGGCCAGCCTGGCTTTGGACATCCACCTGTCTCGGCATCCTGAGTCCTGGGCTTAAAGGCACGTGTCAACACCATCTCATGGGAATTTAAGGATGCAGGTCCCATTCACTCTGCCTGAATCCTCATTCTGGGGTGGGGCAGGCATCTGCACTTTAGCAAGTCAGGGGATGGTGAGCCCTGAATCCTCATTCTGGGGTGAGGCAGGCATCTGCATTTTAACAAGTCAGGGGGTGGGCCCTGAAGCACCAGGTCTTCTCAGTGCCGCTTCCTCTCCCAGGGACCATCTCTTCTTGTGTTCTCCACAAGGTCAGGCTGATGACTGGGGAGCCATCTCCCCCAGACTCCTTTCCAAGTGTGAATGGGTCAGATGTCATGGGGTTCTCTCTCCATTCTTGTTTTCTTGAAGGGATGAATTCAGGCGAGAGACAGACAGGTTGATTAGTTTATTAAGACAATGCCTGGTAGCGAGCAAAGTGCTCTGAAAAGAGATTGAGCGGTAAGCAGCCTAATGGACAAGACCAGAGAGGCTCTATAAATTATTATGAATATTTATGAAGTAGGTGGACTATCGATTGGGTTCTATGATCTTTTCCCATCACAAACCATGGTAGACTGGATCTTCCTATCAAGATAATTCCATTGTTAGCTCCACAAAAGGAAGGCGGGTCAGAAGGATTCAGAGTTTTGTTAGTGCAGAGCTATAGGTTGAGCGACCTCACGATTTGGTTTCTGATCCTATGGGGACAATGTGCCTGCTTCTTCAAGGATGTGCAGGCAAAGCGGGCAGTCTGGCCCTCAGGAGACAGCTACCGACATGCAGCTCTAGAATCCTTCATATCGCTTACCTAGCTTCTGGTCTACAGCATGGTCTCTGCTGGGATCTGGAACATTTTAGAGACACAGTATTTTTGTTGCAGGCCTTTTGTTTTGAGCCACCAACCAGCTCCCAAATCACAACACGGAGACTTATCATCAGTTATGAATGCTCAGACTTATCTTATGTTTGTCCTATGAAGTCTTCTAACTTAAATTAACCTGTTTCTCTTCTACATTTTTGCCTTGGTGCTTATTACCTCTCTTCCATTCTGTAAGTCCTATTCCTCGCCTGACTGGCTGTGGCCTGGCCCCAGGAGTCTCCCTTCCTTTCTCCCTACTTCTCTTACCTCCTCTCTCACAAGCCTAGATCCCTCCTACCTATTTCCTCTGCGCACCAGCCAACTATCCCTCTACTGCCTTGCTATTGGCCCTTCACATTTTCACTAGGCCGATCAGGTGCCTCAGGCAGGCAAGGTGAAATAGCAGCATCTTTACATAATTGAGCAAATGAAGCTCACCGTTCCAGAGTTAAAGTAATATTCCACAACATGCTATACTCACAGTTTAGTCTGGTACAGTGAGATGAGTTAGGAGAGCCGGTGAAAGGGCAATGGCACCTTGTATGGGTCCCTCAGGACCTTCTGGGGTTCCAATTAGAGCCAACGCCTCAGAGCAGCTCGCTGGCGCTTTCATAGAGCCCCATCTTCTGATCCTGTCAGCTTTGCTATTTCATGCCCAGGAGCAAACCCTCTTATTTTTATCCTCAGTGTTTTGAGCTTGTCCCACTCTAGCTCTGGCTAGCCTGGAACTGTCTATGTAAATGAGGATACCTCATAGTCGCAAAGACCATCAGGCCTCTGCCTCTGAAGTGCTGGGATTAAAGGCTGGGAATAAACTCTGGCACTTCGGGGTTCTTGATCCCTACAATTCATCACATGACTTCACTTTAACTCACATGCTTGCTTTTACAATAATCGGAGGAGCAGGAAACCAAGGCCAGAGCAGGAAGAGAACAAAAAGTAGTGGGCGAGGCTGGAGAAATGCGCAGTGGAGACCCTGACCTCACAGGGGACTCAGTTCTGGTTCCCAGCACCCGTGTGGTGGTAACTCCAGCTCCAGGGGATCTGATGTCCTTTTCTGACCTCTGTAGGCGTGTGGTACACGTGAAAGCCAAACACTCCTATAAATAAATGTCAAATGTTGTTAAAAAGGCAACAGAGAAAGCCTTTCATTTGTGTGAGCATCGATGGGTCCAGGGTGCAGGTCTGAAACAAACATCAATCACTGTTTCCCAGAAGCGGCAGGTCAGGGTGGCGTGTTGAAGGACTTTTAAGGGTGTGGGACCCAGCTGTTCTGAGGTTGTGCAGGTCCCACACACATAGGCAAAGGACAACAGAGCCAAGGTACACTCCTGTGATAATAATGGCCTATTTACACAGAATTCACCCAAAAGTAACATTCTGCACATTAATTACATCACTCTTTACTCGGGGCTCTCCAGGAATCCGGGGTCAGCTTTCATTTGATCCCTGGAGTTCCGGGATGTCCTAGCACCCCTTACTCACTCTTGACGTCTCTTTTGTCTCTCTAACCTTACTGGTCCCATGCTGCTCTTGCCTGCAGGAATTTTTGAGCAAATAAGCAGATGACATGTGCACATCTCTAATTGGGAGTCTGAGGCAGGAGGATGCCTCGGGCCCCAGAATTTGAAGCCAGTTTAAGTTAGATACTATGTCAAAACAAACAAGCAAAAGCAAGCATGCCTCCTCTAGCCTATGACACAGACAGCGGATAGGCTGACTGCAGCTCCACAGGTCTCAACGTGCTGGCCCCACACTGAGGGATCACGGAACACCGACTATGTGCCCGAGTGCAGTTCTCTATCAGGAGTCCACCACAAGGCGGTACTGCATAGTGACCAGTGTCCCAGGGTGCACACAGTGGAGACGATGTAACCTTCCAAAGGAGGAACTTTGCAGTGGGTTCCCAGATAGACCTACTGGCTGCCCGTCAGAGAAGATTCCAGACAAATGCTTGATTCCTTTAAAACGACTTTTATTAAGGAACACGGGACAAGAGGAACAGAATTGACATGCAGGGAACAGGTGACACGGGGGCCTGAGGGTCAGAGTAGACAATACAAAGGGTCTTGAGGACATTCTGTGCAAGACGTTAGGGGACGGCAGGCTCTGCACTGTTACCTACGCCTGTTTGGATGGCTTCAGTTGAGTAATGTTTCTTGAATTCTCATAAAGCAGAGTGTAGTGTCTGGCTCGGCATAAATGACAAAGACACGAAAATTTTCCTTCAACTGAACTGTAGCATAACAAACTTAAGCATGGCATTAAATTTTTCTTTTTGCTTCTTTATGAAATCCTGGATTTTGAGCCAAATCCGTTTTAGAATTCCAGGCTTATCATGGCTCTTCTGGTTGTCCTTGGCTTGTTCCTCTTCGGTCTGGTCTTTGTTCTGATCCTGGTCTTTGTTCTGATCCTTAGCTGGGGTGCCCTCAGCCTGGCCTGGGATCTCCTCAGCCTGGCCTGGGATCTCTTCAGCCTGGCCTGGGATCTCCTCAGCCGGGTCTATGATCTCCTCAGCCTGGTCTACGATCTCCTCAACCTTGGTTAGCATCTCCTCAGCTTGGCCTGGGATCTCCTTAGCCAGGTCTATGATCTCCTCAGCCTGGTCTACAATCTCCTCAACCTTGGCTAGCACCTCCTCAGCCTGGGCTCTGATCATCTGAGACTGGACTTGGGTCAACTGACTTTGGACTAGGATCGTACTAGCCTGTCTTAGGATCTCCTCAGCCTGGGCTAGGATCTCCTCAGTCTGGGCTCTGTTCAACTCCGCCTGGACATGGATGTCCTCGGNCTGGGCTCGGGTCAGCTCAGCCTGGGCTTGTGGGTGCTCAGGATGGGCTCGGGTCAGCTCAGCCTGGGCTCGGGTCAGCTCAGCCTGGGCTAGGATCTTCTCAGTCTCAGCTCTGATTTCTGCTTCCCCAGCTCTGCCAGACAGGATCTGGTAGGAGAGAATCACAGGATTAAAAGCCTAGATCTTCAGCTTTTGTCCCCCAAACCCTGTTCCCAGACCTCATAATCCCCTTAAATGGCACCAGCTAGGACTTAGAGACCAGTTAGCCTGGGATCCCTGCCCTGCCCTGTTCTCAATGTAATGTAGGATGTGGACACCTCCTTCAGTCTCCAAGGCCTCCTGTGTCCCATCACCTAGCACGGCTGTGAACTGAGAAGTTGGTGAGCTACAGGAGTCTGTGCATGAAGCATGGGCAAGCCTGAGAACGCAGCTTCCTCACTGAGCTGGGATAACTTTCTCCAACCAAAGAACAGGAGTTGGAGGCTGAGGCTGTTGGGACATAAACCTGGGGTCTGAGGGCAAATTCAACAGTCTGGTACCTTATGTTTCTCTGTTTAATTTACTTAAAACTTTTTGAACTGACTCTGTAGCCCAGTTTACCTAGGACTTACTGCCATCCTCCTGCCTCAGCCTTCTGAGTTCAGGGATTACACGAGAGAGTCAGTACACCTGCTCTACATAGACATTTCTTGCATGTAGACAGAGAAATCCTATCGTTCTTTTTTCCTCTTTCCTTCTTTCTTTTTTTATTCCTGTCTGTGTGTTGAGACGGGGTCTCACAGTATAGCTCTGGCTTGCCTGAAACTCACTCTGTAGACCTGGCTGACTTTGAGTTCACTGCTGCCTACCTCTGCCTTGTGAGTGCTGGGATTAAAGAGGCATGCCACCACATCTGGGCTGCCAAGGGTGTTTATCAAAGCATCTGTCTAAATACAGATGTGAATGTGATGAGACACAGAGGTGGGATCATGCTGCCAGATCCTCCTCCTTCTTGGGCGCCAGGAGGGCCAGAACCTCCTCAGCACCACAGAAGGACAAGGGTCAACAGTACTCTGGAGCCACTTGCAGAACAGCCTTGCCAATGTGCACCTCCGCTGTCCCAGGGATCGTCTTTTACCTGTGGAAATAGGAAGCACTCTGCTTCTTCTGTGACCTTTGCCACCCTCCAGCCTGTCCTACAGATGCCACTGCACAGAAACTTGTGGTGATGAGCATCTCCAGATGTGCCGGCTCAGATCGCTTCCAAGACCCCGGAATCTAGACCAGCGATGTTTGGAACAATCTCTGCACCTTATCCCCAAAGATTACCTGCAGCTTCTGGGTCGTTGCATTGTCAGCATCTGGGAAGCTCTCAGAGTAACCCTGCAGTTTGTGTCGTACACGCTCCACATCAGAGAAGAAGAGAGGCGAGTCCTGTGGGAAGAGAGACTGCTCAGAGCTGATGGCTCAAGTTGCTTAGCCCAGGGTCTGACTCTCCGGGTCCTGAGCTACCTGAGGCCACCTCACATCTGTGAGTGTCGTGGGAAGAGAGGTCAGAATCCTGAGCACAGTCCCACAGACACACAGCCCTTTCCTAGGGTCCTGTCCTAAATTTCCCTCTTCAAGAGGCCAGAGCTCACTGGACATGAGAGTCCACACACAGGGCTGACTTTCAGTTTGCATTTAGACAGAGGACCTGTGTTGGAGAGGAGGGCATTGCTCTCCCTTTTTTGTGGAGCAGTGATGGAAATCAGGCCAGCTGGGAACTTACTATGGAGCCAGCCTGGTCTTGAAACCACAGAAGTCCTGCCTCAGTCACGGGTGCACTGTGATCACAAGTGAGTCCAGCCACACTCAGAACAAGGGATCATTTTTTCCAGTGGGGACAAATGACCTGGTAAGTAACTGACCAGTCTGTCCTCTATCCTCATTTTCTTTTCTTCTTTCTTTTTCTTTTTCTTTTTTCTGTGTGTGTGTGTGTGTGTTTTGTTTGTTTTTGAGACAGGCTCTCTCTGTGTAGCATTTCCTGTTCAGGAACTCACTCTCTAGACCAGGCTGTACTTGAAATCATAGAGATCCGACAGCCTTTGCCTCCCAAGTGCTGGGATTGAAGGTGTGCGCCATCACCACCAAGCTATTCTCATTTGTTAACTCTATTCCTGCTGGTCATCCGGTGTAACTCAGTTCCTTTTCTCAACCTCAGACAATCACGCCCCAGTCCTCCAGTCTAGAATTATCCCTGTCTGGAGTGTGTTCCATATTCGTGACCAACTATTTCTGCTTGACAAGGTTCCAGCATTTTGATTTGGGGATCATTGTTCTCCACTGCCCTTTCACTTTCGTTCCTACTGATTCCACTGTGTGTTATGGGAATTCCCTTACACGATTTCCTTTGGGAAATTTTGTTTGGACTTGAAGGATAAAGATATATAAAATGGCAGGCTCTCTAAACAAAAGACTTTCTTGGAAAAAAAAAACCCACCGCTCTAGAACCACAAAGTGTGATAACTGTCTACTCCTGTACAAGTTAACCCCAGGCTGCTAGAAAATTTAGATAAATAACATTTGCTTGATGAATAAGGCATATTTGATAATCAGGACTTATAAATTCTAAAGGTCTTCTCAGGTTTACAGAAATATATATCTGGCCTCATCTTTGCTCACTTTTAAGCTTTTGTTAATTGGATAAACTAAGCCACACAAAAGGTGCCATATTCTATAATATCATATTCTTTAATCTTGTCTGATCTCCCAAGAGAGTCCTTTTTTTCCAAGGTCAGGCATTTAGACAAAAAAAATCACATTCTTTCAGAGGCTAGAAGAAAGTTAGTGTTTGCTAATAAAAAGGAGACTTTCCTATCTCTGGCAAGAGGAACTTTGACCCTTCATTAATATGTAAGTTGTCAAAGTCAACACTAGCGTTCTCCATCCCTAGTCCCAAGCCACACTGCAGTCCACATCCCCCTTTCTCCTGTTTAATCCTATGTGCAGCTATAGAGTATAAACGGTGTAGTCTTTCTTTAAGAAACGTGCGGGACGCCATCCCGATTCACCCTCAGATTCTTTTGAGTCTCCACCTTCCCCCCAGCTGACTCCACATTCTCCTTGGGACCAGAACACCCACCAAAGCTGGGCTCCAGCAGTTAGGACAGGACAGTGACAGCAGAGCAGTCGCCAGGTGAGCAGCACATCTGGAGAGACTCATTAGTCTCCTGACTAAAGAGTGGGCTTTGTCCAAGGAGAACTGAGGGAGACAACACCCAGCCCACTACCTCCTCTCACTCACCTTAGGGACACCCATAGCTCAGCAAGGGTCAGGGTCGAAGCCTGTTTGAGAGGAACAGAGGAGGGGA